TGCCTTGATCTCTCTCAGGACATCACAGTGTGATGTGAGGGAGGGGTGTGTGTGCGTGTCGGTGTGCTTCTGCAGCAACTGCTAATGTCGTGCTGAAGTGTCAGTGTGTTCATGCACAGCAGCTCTCAGCCAATGGAAACTAGGAGATTTGGGGACCAGAGGTACTGTCCTGCTGAGGAGGGTTTGAAATGCTCTGAGCCCCAATACAGAGGGAGTTTACAGAGTCCACGGATCTTACTGCTGCGGAGATCATGGGTGTAGTGCGCTTCCAAGATGTAGCCATAAGAACCCTGCAATATACAGTATGCTGCCCAGCGTGCTCAGCAACATCATGTTTCTGACAGCTTTATTCATTTGGTTGACACTTAAACTTTCTTTTTTAAGCCTTTGCAACAAGGAACTGCCTCTTATTTTTCCTATTTTTCTTATTCTCCACACCCACCCAAATTCTAATCACCAGTTGTTCCTGCATGTGTCAGATCACAGCAGAGAGAATAAGGAAGAGCCAACGGTGGCACTGCAAATCCGCAGGCTACTGGCCAGCTGCAGGGGCTGCCATTTCTCCCAGAGCTGAGAGGGAGCCTGGACAGCTAATCGCACTATAGTCCCGGTCCTGGCGGCAGTCTGCCAACACTGCTGACTAGCACACAGGGGGACTCCATCACACTGGGCTAGCGAAGTGACCCAGGCTCGAACCCGTGGCATCGGTGTCCCAAGCAATCGGTTCATCGCTGCTGGATCCCGTTGGCACACTGTCACATGCAGGCAGGATAGAAACCTCCTCCCCGACAGCTGCCTCGTTTTCCCTGACTGCTCCAACAGCAGAGCTAAGGCCATTAGATCCCACTGGCAGGGCCGCAAGATCAGAAGTGCCCAGATGTCCTGCCCCACTGAAGCCCACTCTCTGTGGGGAGTCCAGGCCAAAGTGGGAATTCTGACTAAAACCTGAATGGAACCAGCGACAACTGGACTACAGCTTCCACTCTTTGCTGTGAACAGGTGACGTCCAAGGCCGAGCCAGTCAGCAGACCCCAGTGTCGTGTGTCTTTTGCAGGTAGACCTTGGTGGAGGCTGATGGGAAATGTAACAAGAAGCATGGAGTGTGCTGCCTTCAGCACCGGTCCTGGAGGACCCCTCTCTCAGTGTTCCCTCCAGCTGGGCTCTCCCTGATCCCTGTCTTGGAACAGGCTGCACCCCCAGACCTTTCTAACCTGCTCCTGTGCTCAGCCTTAGCTTTCAGAAACTCTGTTACTAACGCTTTGTCAGAAGGAAATAGAGTAAAAGATTGGTATTCATGAGGGTTAGGTTCCCTGAGTTGTACGTGAATGGTGAATTTGCAAACACAAAACCTAATACCTTACAGGAAAAATAGGGTATGGTTCTGCACCTCACCAAAACATACATTTCCATATAATAATTTTTTAGAAGTGTTAACTATTTCAGAAATACCATTCGTAAGTACTGGTATAGGTAGAAAGTATTTTAAATGAAAATGAGCACTGGAAGCTGAATGAGGGGAGATGGGGACTCTGATGCTGTCCAGGGTTGATAATCAGTACTGTAACCATCCAACCTCTTGTGAGCCTTAATAATCCACTAGAGACCACTAGAGACAACGTGATAAGAGCTCAGCTGGAGTGAAAAACAAGCGCCACAGAGTCCTACAGGACCAGAGGACCAGATCTGACTAATAGGGCTCCAGAGGACAGTGAGCCCAAGGAAAGTTTGTGATGTGATGTTGAAAGCGTTTTCCAGCATTGATAACTTGATTCCTAGATGTTTTTTTTTAATGATTGGCCTTCAAAAGACAAAGCAAAAAGCTACATACTATCAAGTGTGACTGGGTCATCAAAGTATTGCAATGGAAATTGGACTCCAGGATCTCCTCCTGTATTCATCTCTGCATTCTCCCAAACCCCCTCCAGCATCCTCGACCAGCCTGATTTTACAGCAGGAAAACAGGAGAGATGCTCCAATTGTTTGGAGAGAAATACAAAAATGCTTGTTCCAAAAAAACACAACCCGATGTGTAACTTCTGAATTGAAAAGCAACGTTAGACTTATATAGACAAACACCCACAAGTCAGATCATGAAATTAACCAGAATTAGATCTGAGAAGACAGGTGGAAATCAGACCACAATCAGACAGGAACCACACACCAGCGGCTGCAGATTAAGGGGGGAGGGACGCTCAAGTTAAAGGTGAGAATTCCACAGAGAGCCAGGAGCACTCACTTACTTCACCCTTCGCCAGTCATAAGGACAAGATTCACAAAATCATGACTTTGGTGCTGTCCCTTCAACAGCTGTTTCCCACTGCCTCCTGAAGGCCTGACTGCCTGCAAGTCTCTAAAATCGGTTTCCTCTGCTGCATCCTGACTGAGGTTTCACAAGGAGCAGATGAGCACACTGCAGGGGTGGAGTACCAGGAGTACCAGTGTGTTTACAGTGCACTTAAAGGGCTCCCTGCTTTTTGAATATAAACTACAGCAGTAAAGGACCCTTTGCTGGCTTCCTGAAGAAACAACAATGACGTTAGTCTGTGCTGCAGAAGTCTTACACGATGTTGATTTGAGAAATACCAATACATTTCTGAATGTGGGGCATGAATATTTTGTGTCTTTTTTAAAAAGGGAAGTCTGAGTGCATTACGCTCTCTGCTCTCTCTTGCTTTCTGCCTCACACAAATGGCGGGACTTGCACTGCCCACACTGCACATCAGTCTGGAGACCAGTGCCTGATTTGGGACAATGGCTTTGGCGTTTCAGGGCAGCCCTAATTCTCCACTGGTCTAAGAGAGCAGCAGGTGTGCGGTGGGAGCTGTGAGGGGAAGGGTCGTACCTGCGCCAGCTTCATCATCATGTGGGCGAAGACGTGCAGGAAACCCACCACTGCGTCCCACAGCCTGCTGTGAGCCAGGGACTGCTGGTTACCCGTGCAAGGGCCCTGAGAGACAGGCAGGCAGAGGGCAGACAATGAACACTGCTGTCCTACTTAATCATTAATAATGTGCAGCTGCATCCAGAGATACTTTCTGTATACTTCCGAATGCTCCACATTTAAAAGCATTCTGCATATTAACCTGTATGTACTCTGTCAGACTGTATTTGTCAGACTGTATTTGTCTGTATGCACTCTGTCAGACTGAATTTGTCTGTTTGCACTCTGTCAGGCTGTATTTATCTGTATGCACTCTGCTGGACTGTATTTACCTGTATGCACTTTGCTGGACTGTATTTACCTGTATGTACTCTGTCAGACTGTATTTGTCAGACTGTATTTGTCTGTATGCACTCTGTCAGACCGAATTTGTCTGTTTGCACTCTGTCAGGCTGTATTTATCTGTATGCACTCTGCTGGACTGTATTTACCTGTATGCACTCTGCTGGACTGTATTTACCTGTATGTACTCTGTCAGACTGTATTTGTCAGACTGTATTTGTCTGTATACACTGTCAAACCGAATTTGTCTGTTTGCACTCTGTCAGGCTGTATTTACCTGTATGCACTCTGCTGGACTGTATTTACCTGTATGTACTCTGTCAGGCTGTTGAACACCTGTTTGGCCACGTTCATGGCTTTGGAGAAGTTTCTCTTGCCTGGCTCATCAATGGTGTCTTTCCCAGAATAATACCAGTAGAAATCACTGATAGACTCCTGCAAAGAAACATGATAGAAAAGCTTGGTGTTACTGTATTACAGAATGTATAATGAAGTCACTGAAGATACACCACGGGTTCACTATTTACATAAATGGAATGATAGTACCAGGAAACAGCATGGTGTTTAGTGTGGTTTGGTTATTGTATACTGTAAGATATGACAGACTATTAGTGTACCATAGTGATTATTAATATTTCTCGATATGTGGGCATCAGTGTGGTGTTTGTGTTAGTATGGTTGCATGTAATGACAAGAAGTCAGTGCTCGTCAATTGTGGAGAAATTGTCAGTGTGTGTTACAGCCCCTATCAGTCAGTGTGAAGGAGGGTGTGTATCAGGGTATGTGTGAAGGCGTCAAGAACGACATTTTTCTATCTTGGATATTCCCCCCACCACCAGCAGAAACATGCTAGTTGCAGATTAGGTATTTAGGAGTGAGGGAACTCAAACTATGAGCTAGTCTTTGAGTTTTTATTTTTCTGCATTTGCCTGTGTGTCAGGGCCTTGCTGTATTGGTGACTGCGAGATATCTGTGACATATTGGTGACTGCATCACGGCAGGCATTGGCGTTTGCCCTGGTGATGCCAGCAGTGGAGGTGGAAGTTACTGTCAGGGCGATGATGCCATTATCCTCTGTCAGAGGGCCAGGGTCTGGGGAGACTCTAACACCCTCCCTATAGCTCTCAGCTGAGGAACAGAGAGTATCTCTGCAATGCCACTACCACTCTCCCCGCAGCATGCAGAGGAGTGAGGACACTGCACCACAGGGCTGACGATGTTGACAATGCTACCGGATCCACCGGAGGGGGGAGAGTGTTGCTGGACTGACAGTGACAGTACTGGCCCTACCATCCTCCAGCAGGGTGACTACAGAGGACAGTGTCAACAGGACAACTCCGCTCTCCCAGGAGTGTCAAACAGATAAAACACCTGTACTGACCCTGTGGGGTGTGGTGGGGGGTCTAGGGCTGCTTCTGTGTGACCCCTCTACATAAGCTTCAGCTGCCCTGCCACTAGAGGTCATCACAGATTCGCATGTGGTGAATTTAACTGGTGAAGGGTGAGAGTCACCTTCTCACAGGAGTTTCATTTTGACTATCAGCTTCGGTTTGGTATATAAAGGGATTCAAGCAGATAAATTAGATATTGTCTTTAGTGTCTACTGCAGAACTGCACAGTATGTTACTTTGCGCTGTTGCATGTCCATGTGCTCATGCCTCATGAGCAACTGGACGCCTGAACACACGGACCATGTGTTACTGTGGCAGTGTGGCACTGGGTGTGTACCTGGAGCCGAAGCAGGTAATCCACAGTGCAGATAATGATGTTGATAGTGGTGGTGTTCCCAGTCTGGGTCCGCAGGTAGTTTTGGAAATCTGCTCAGACACAGACGCACATGTTCAGGTGTTTATACATACACAAGGACTTCCCAGTCACTCCTGTTATTAACTGTTTTTTGACTCCATCAGAATTTAATTTGACATCAGGTGAGAACAGACTCAGAACATTTTTAGTTTTTAGCTGTAGACTTCATCTCAACAGTCCACACAGCACCAGCCTTATATTTGTTAGTGCCTTTTCTCAGATTTGGTCTTTACCAATGTAGCTCGACCTTCACATACTGTTTTCACAAGTGCAACGAACCGAAGGCAGCGTACTAACGGGGGATGCTCTTGTTGTTAGTATACAGCTCTGTACTAAACTAGTTCACAAGGTACATATCTATTGCTACACACTTGGCTGCTGAAATTAGTCTCCAGCTATGTAATGGTGTTCTCAGCTTCATTGAACCAAATGTTACAGCAGCTACAAACTTAAAAGAACATTCTCGCATGAAGTGTAACAAACCTGGCACATGAAACTGCATAAGGTTCATAGTATTGTGTATACATAACTGTAGCCTATCATAAAAAACAAATTACCAATAAGTACAGGATGAGTTTGTTTCTGTATCATTCATCAGTGAAATTTAAGCCACTGTGATACACTGCAACTTCAGCAGCTGTACTGGTTTTGTGGTGCACTGAAGTGGATGGTCCAGTAAGTAGTTACATGCTCTCATCTGGAGAATTTTAGTACCCATACATCCATACAAGACCCCTTCAGTTTCTGCTTGGTAGAACTGCAGTTTCCTTCTTAGTACTATACTAAGTATGGGATCAGCTGGTCCCCAGTTTTTTTCATTGCAATTGAGCAGGCAGCGGAGGATGATCCTGAGACAGTACCATACAGTACCATACTAGTTATTACACGTTAGTACATACATTTGACCCATTGAGCTTATGCTATAACATGGTCTGAATTTTACTCAGAACCCCTTAACTGCGGCAAAGACACACTGTCCACGGTATAACACGGGGCTCACACACGCACCATTATTGTGGCCCTCGCACAGCAGCTGGAGGAAGCGGAACAGGTCGCAAGTGAACTCATCGTCCGCCATCACCTTCTCACCTGGAGAGAGAGTGGGACAGAGTGATGCACTAGGAAAGACAGTGGGAGGCTTGCAGACAGAGAGAGAGGGAGTGTGTGTATGCTACACCATGACCCCAAGCATTTGCACAGACATGTCAGTGTGTCTGCATGAGAGGTCTTGTCTAAACCACACTCCCTCCTTCCCTGTCCCCAGCGGTCAGTTACTGTTAGTAAGATACTCAGTGAGCACTGAGGACGGTGCTGTCTGTCCGTCGGTCTCAGAGCAGAGAGACAGCACCACCCCAACCCAAGATAAACTGTTCACAGGCAGCACACAGTCTCATACACAGCGTTCATTGTTCCTCTGTTCCTCAGCGGTGGCTGGAGGTAAAAGCTGTTATCAGAGGTATTTCAATGGAACTGATGGGGAAACGGATTGCTGATGTGTTGCCAGCCATTGGCATGAGAATCCTCCTTGACAGAGAGCGGAGCAGTGAAGAGCTGTGCGTGAAGGACAGTTGATATTGGGCCAGTAACACAAAGAGGCAGAGAGTCAGAAAGTCCAGACGTGAGGGTTAAGTCCCACCCTAACAGTTTATTGTAGATACACACAATCACAGACAGACGCTCCTGCAGCCTGGAGCCAACAGCAAGGAGAGAGAGAGAAGTGTGGTTAATAATAACAAAAATCGTATAGACAACAGCATGGCTGAGCTGGAGAGGTGGCAATACCGTACATGAGCACACACTGATACACGCTGACCGAAAGACAGGAAGGCAGGCATGAAGACACACAGTGACGCAGGCAAAGACGTGCTTTCAGATGGACATACACAGCGATACAGAGATGAAACATGCTGGCAGACAGACACAAACTCTCAGACCTGCTTGGACAGACACATAGACATGCACACTGAGAGAGAGACACAGATACATACTGTACAGTATGTACAGACAGATGGACACTGGGACTGCTGGTCCTTACACTGCAGATACACGCTCATGCAGGACAGACCTACTGCACTCCACTAACTGCACTTAACTAGTATTAACATCAGAACTAGTAACACCCCTGGTATAATCAGTGTCAATGACATACAGTGTTAGTGCTGTCTTGTGATCACTGTCTGTAGCATTAACAACAGAATTACTGTAATAACACTAGTGGTATAATCAGTGTTAGTGGTGTCTTGTGATCACTGTCTGTAATATTAACATCATAACTACTATAATAAAACCACTGGCATAATCAGTGTCAATGACACACAGTGTTAGTGCTGTCTTGTGATCACTGTCTGTAGCATTAACAACAGAATTACTGTAATAACACTAGTGGTATAATCAGTGTTAGTGCTGTCTTGTGATCAATGTCTGTAATATTAACATCATAACTACTGTAATAACACCACTGGCATAATCAGTGTCAATGACACACAGTGTTAGTGCTGTCTTGTGATCACTGCCTGCAGTATTAACATCATAACTACTGTAATAACACCACTGGCATAATCAGTGTTAGTGCTGTCATGTGATCACTGTCTGTAATATTAACATCATAACTACT